TTTTGACTGCCTTCCCACCCGAGGGCCTCGTCTTCTGGCACTATATTTGACAATGTGCTGCCAATAGTCATAAGTGCTTCAGTGGTAACCACTGAGAAGTGGTCCGCTTCTCCTTTTTTCTAGTCTGTCTTATTCTGGAGGCTTAGCTGAAACCTGTCCACCATGGGTGGGGATGTTGTAACAGTGACTGGACTTCCAGCACTTTGAGTGTTGTCTGTTTGTCCTGTTGTCTATTTGTCTATGAACAGGAACCTGGATATTTGGTTGCTTTTGATTTTCTTAAGTTTTCAACTATGGTTTTAGGACAATCTATAGAATCTATAGAAAAGGGAGGGAAAAGAAGCTGAGCAGGTATCTGAGTAGTTAAGATGACACACAAGAACAAGAAAAAGAAAGCAGGAAGCAGAGACAAGGGTGGCTGGAGTGGGTCTGAGAGCCAGCACACGGGGAGACATGTAGGAGGAAAGCTATCTTGAGTGGGAGACTACCGTGGTCAGCTTTCACCCTGACTCAGGTACGGAAATGGTTTGCTTTTTCTCTGTGTATTGAGCACATCAAGTGAACAAAGGGCACTGATTGACACTGTGTCTGTAAGATAAATGTGGAACCTGTAAGGTTGGTGGTTCAAATTCATCAGCCGCTGCTTAGAAGCCCTATACAGGATCACCATGAGCTGGATAGAAGTCCTGGTACAGGACTGCAGGGTAATTCACTGGACCTCAAGTTCAGCTGTTCAAACCCAGCATCTGCTTTTGGGAAACCCTACACAGGGTCCCTATGAGTCAGAACTGACTTGAAGACACTTACCAACAACAACAACATGAGTCATGTGACTTGTAGTAACTTATTAACTACAACAATAGCAAATCAGCAGGAGTCCTGGTTTTTGTGCTGTAGGATAAGCACTGGACCTCCAGGTTGGTTTGAACCACAAAGTTAGAGGTTGAAACCCACCAGCCACTCCTAGGGAACCATATACAGGATCACTGTGAATCAGAACCAACTTTATGGCACATACACCAACAACAATACATCAGGAGGCATCTTTTAAAGAGAAACAACAGGCACCATGGGAAACCAAGAAAGAATTTCTGGGAACACTCCCTTAAGCTGCATATTTGTTGTTGTCAAGTGCCATCAAGTCAATTCTGACCCATAGCGATCCTGTATAGGGTTTCCAAGGAGCAGCTGGTGAGCTTGAACAGCCGATCTTGCAATTCAAATGGCTTTTCAGTCTGGCCCATTAACCCACAGCGCCACACAGGACTCCTACTAGACAATGGGAAAACTTTCTGCATACTAGACAATGGGAAAACCTTCTATTAAGAAATCATGACTAAAAAAGAGAATGATTTTTGAAGCTAAGAGGAGAAGGTGAAGTTTATTCTTAAGGAATTTGCTTTGAAGACAAGAATATTCTTCAACACAATTTCCTGTGTGTAATAAACCCCTATTGACAATTAAGAACTTTATAAACAATCACAAAAGATTTTTCTGTTTATGAAAAAGGTGCTAAAAGGTTTTAATGACAGAGGTGTCGGCTGTCACTTGTGCTGAAAAGTCGTGTTACTGTTTTTGCTAATACTAGACAACAGGCACATGATACCAGTGCTATAATTTTATTCATCTGAATTTGATCACTAAACTTGGCCACAACTTTTTTTTTTTTTAATTTGCCAGCACAAATGCCAGTGCATTTAACAGAGAATTGTTCCACTTAGTGTTATAAGATAAGCACTGGGCTGCTAACCGAAAGACTGGCAGTTCAAAGCTACCAGCCACTCCTTGGAAACCCTATACAGGGTCATTATGACTCAAAGCCAACTAGATGGCACTTAGCATCAACCAATGGTTACAAACCAGGCTGCGAACCGCAAGATCAGCAGTTTGAAACTATCAGCTGTTCTGCGGGAGAAAGATGAGGCATTCTGCTCCCGTAAAGATTTACAGCCTCGGAATTCTGTACAGGGTCGCTCTGACTTGGAACCGACTCTACAGCACACAGCCACCACCACCACCATCAAAAAGTTTAATTTAGATACAACATACCTTAATAATTTAATATATATCAAGTTTTGGTTCAAAACTGTTATGTGATATATTTAGAGTTTTCCAAAGAATAAAGTTAAGCATTCATCTTCAGAGCTATTTCTGCCTCCTAAAGTTTTATAAATAACTTTATTTGACTCCTATATGTCTATGTTAAATAGTGTTTTATGAGCCAGTGTTTTTGGCTAGGCATAATCATTTTATTTCACTTTGTTTTGAAAATTTTCTGTGTTTACAACAAGTTGAAGGCCATAGCTAATGTTTCTCATGGAGCAATCTAGAAATCTCAGTTATTTCCTCTTTTAAGAAAAGCTGCTTCTTGTTCCAGACTGTGAGAAATGGCTGTTGGTGGTCCAACTTCAGAATCAAGGAAAGCTTCTTGGGTGTAGCAAGTTGGCATAACAAAAGGGAACTCTGAGAAGAGATAGGGAGTAGTTTGACCTGCTAGACTCTTTTTAAATAAGACTACACCCATCAAAGAAGTAAGGGAAGTTCATGGGTTTGGGGATGAAACTAATTTTAGATGAGAATGCTCCCTGTAGGGTCTAGTAAGAGACTTTTGGGAAAGATTGTAATCTCTTAAGTAACAGTAGCTTAGTGGTTATGAATTGG